CTGGGTGGGTCCCCCGGAATGCAGGTGGGGCGGAGGGGAGCGGTGCCCTCGTCCTCGCCAGGCATCCCCATGGAACGTGGGGAGCGGGGCTGGAGCACCTTCACAGATAGCCTGCTTTCACCCAAAACCTGCCACGTTTGGGTCAGCAGCTCCCTGGACCCCCGGGACGTGGGGACAGACCCAGCTCAGCACTGCGGCTCTGCACTACCGGCAGCATCATGGTGTGGGGTGGCATCGCTCTGCACCATCCCTTCAGTGCGACCCACATCCCAGTCCAGGGTCACTGCCATTCACCATCCGGGGTATGGAGCCTGTAAGTGGCTTTTCCTTAGGCAAGGGACATCTTCAAGGCATAGAGCTGATGTCAGAGGTGACAAGCGCAACACATACCCCGTGATAAACCCCGCAGGGCTGGCTGCTCCTCACCTCTGCCTCCAGCGCCTCCTCCACAGGCTCACAGCAAGGAGCAAGCTTGTGCTCCTGCGCGAGCAGTGGTGAACGAGGCCGTGGAGATGCAGCACAGGGGACGCCCGTCCCTCGCCAGCCCACGCCAGCTCATCCCTCTCACGTGTGGCTCAGGCTCCATCGAGCGATGAGGTTATTTTCTGGCTGCTGCCACTCCTGCTGAGAGCTGCTCCAGACCCTCCTGGTCCCAATGATCATTTCAGCCCCATTTGTCTTCCCGGCAGTTTTGTCGTTCCCTTCTGCAGTTTTCTTCCTCTGACTCAGCCGCACGCGTGTAGCAAGCACGTTGTCTGGCCGCCCACCCTCGCAGGCAGCCCCGGGGGACCGGGCAGCAGCTCCCGGCCCCACGCTGGCCTCCACATCTCACTTTCCCGGCTGGGGAAACACACTTTGCAAGCAAATGCTCCCTTTTTGTGTCCAAGTCACAGGTGAAAGAAGACCAGAGTCATCAGTGTCCTCCCTCAGCCCTCCAAGCACAACTGGCTGCCGTCCCTCGCTCCTGTCCCTCCCCGTGCTGCAGCTCCTGGGCTGAATTCTCACTCCTCCTTTTCCAAGAGCATCTTCCCATGGCGTGGCCAGCGCTGCCATGCATCGCAGGGGGCAGCAATCAGCTAGCGTTGCCAGGTCTAAAAATGCTGTCTTAAAAAAGCAGATCTCAGATTAGCATGACAGAACTCTCTAGCCCTGTCTGCCCTTCAATCTTATTTTCCATTTACACCTCCTCCTTTAACTGCCTTTCTTCCAAAAGGCATTGAACACGTTGCACACAAGTGAGAGTAATTTAAGGGGCTGGCACACTGTGGGCTGGGATTTCATGGGATTATGGCTTCCTCCCTCCCTGTATCTCCCAGAGACTCAAGATTTGGGATCCCTGGCTGATGCGTGACCGGGGGAAGGCTGCAGGAGGAAGGCTCCAGGTGGGACCTGCCTTTGCTGACCTGCGAGTGCATCTCCTCCCAGGACAGCACCAGCAAACCTAGTTAGCGGGGCCAGCCCGGGGACTTTGATGCCTGCTTTCCCCTGCTGCAAGCAGCCTCTGCTCATAGCTGTTATCCTTGTGTAGATGCCCAAGGCGGAGGTCACGGACCTCTGCAAACCTCTGTGTGTCCCAGATTCCTGTGTTGGCCGCGGTCAGCTGTGATGCCGTGTTTGGTACCCAGCATCCAAAGGCAGATGCATGCGCGCTTCCCCTGGCTGCCAACCGCCGGGGAAAGGCTGTCGTGCACCAAGGGTGCTGGGCCGGTCTTCTGCTGTGACCCCCGGACAGATCTGCTCTCCCCGTCCTCCAGAGGCCGTTTGCTTTACGATCTGTGAACATCAGGAAAAAATGAAATAGCAGTGGAGAATTCCCTTCAGCAAAGCTTTGATGGTGAAAAATGTGCTGTTGGGTTGTCTGTTCCACAGAATTCAGGAAAAAAAAAAAGACGAAGAAAAGAAGGAGGAAGGAAAGAGAGAAACCATCTGCTTTTTTCAGAAGTTCCTCACCCACACACTATATCGCCGCTGCTTGGAAAGGCCTTTTCTCCTCTCCCTTCCACTCCTGTGCAATCAGATAGTCCCCAAACTGCCCCTGGGTTAATTGAAACCAGAAGCCGCTGTCACTTCCAAGTGTTATGAGCACAGGGACCACGAGGAGCTCAGGTGTTTTGGAAAGGATGATGTCAGTAGGGTCTGCGATGAAAGGCTCGCTGACAGCCTGCAAGGCGACGCCGCGGGAACGGCCGCAGGTAGGGGCTCAGCCCTCCGTGGGTACCACCAGCTCCGCTCCATCAGCCCCGCACCGCCAGGTACTGTGACCAGGGCCGCCCCGCGGCGGCCGCGGCAAGGCTGGACACGAGCTCAGGAACTTTGCCCCGTCCGCTCCCGGCACTCACCCCCATGCTGCTACTTTTAGGGCAAAAATAGTTAGATTTTTGTAAAGAAAAAAAGCCCAGAGTGAAAAGAGGCTCCGGAGCCCTTCCTGGCAGGGGACAGCCGGTGACGGGTGTGTGCCCAGCCTCCCTTCAAAGTGCGAGTAGCTAATCTTGTCTCAATAAAACCAGCATCGTGTCAGGGTAATCAGCGGACGTCAACACTTTAATGGCACTGGCAGAGCCCCAGCGAGGTCCAGGGGTTATCCTGGCTGCATCGTATTCCCACGGGAAAGGTAGATAGCAAGCTCCCTCCTTCAGGTACACATCCGATGGCTGTCAGGTGCCGTGGGGCACGCGTAGCGCTGCCGGCACCTCTGTTGCAGCCCTGTCTGGGTTATTAATGGGCTCTCTGCGGCCTGCAGCCATCTCTCCTGGGCACCCCGCCTGCCCACACCGGGAGGGGACAGGAGGGGACGGGACGGGACGCCTCGCTCGCCAGCAGGCAGTGTAAATCTCAGCTTCCCAGGCGGGGCAGCTCCATAAACCGCAGCAGTTTCAGCACCGGGTTTGTACGCCTATACGTACAACAGGCAAATTGACAGATGACGCTGTATACACAGATTGTGTAAACTGCCGTCAGGTGCTGCCCCGTGCCCCTCACCGGGCGCCAGCGGGTGCCCGAGCCTCTCTGCGGGGACGGAAGGGAGACAGGGGGGACCTGCCGGTGACACAGCCCGTGGCGAGCCCGGCGCGCTCCCACGTACCCGTCCCCTCGGCCTCAAGGGCAGGCCCGAAGGAGAGCGAGGGAGGAGGGTGCGTTGATTTAAGATGTGAGAAGGTCAAAAGTTTTCTTGAGCGCAGTTGCTATCACGACGCTGAACACTTCATCCCCCTTTTTATCTGCCCCAGTATTTATTGTCCATGAGCAAATACTTGTGTTTTTATAAATTCCTTTAGAGTGAATCACCCTTCTCCTGTTTAAACCAGCAAAGACCACATCAAACAGTATCACTCCATCTAGAATTAATCATTAATTTGAAGTATTTGACAATATTTTGCCAGCATTATTTCTTCCTCTCCCCGATTAATAAAGGTTAAGCCTCAGTACCGGCACTTTTGCAGGACACTTGGTGCACAGTGGTGTCGCTGGGAGCTCACCAGCCCCAAACCCGCCCTGGGCAGCGCAGGCACAGATGTGCAGGTCTGGACCCGGCTTTCAGGCAGGTGGAAGCAGCCTCGCTGCTGCCTGCACGTGGTGTGGAGCGGGCAGCTGAGCCGCCACGCTGCCCGGTGCAGCCCCGGGACCCTCCATCCCGCAGCCGGGGAGCTAACGCACACAGGGGCTGGTGTCAGAAGCCTTTTCACTCGCGGGGAAGTGCAGAAAGACTGGTCTGGTCTAGAGGATTGTAGAAGGAGATGGAGCCTTCCTCTGCCTGCTCTCACCGCACCCTCCGTGAGCACAGTTTCAAATCAGGCCAAAATCTGATCTCAGATGGTTGCATGTGGCTTCTATTCACTTGAGACAGAATCCAGCCTTTAAACGCCACATTTTGTACTTTGGTTTTATGTCTCAGACATGTGTTTTGCTAGGACACTGCATTTCATTTTAAAATTATTTTTGACAAGGCCTTATGGTTCATGAATTCCTGCACGCCAGGTCCTGCAACACTCATCCCAGATCTGCTGGCCTCTTCTGAGGCACCACATCGGGGTGGTTTTCCTTCCCACTCAAAAACAAGCCATGAAATGACCTTGATTTTTCCAGTGTCTTTGTGGCAGGGCATTTTCTCAACACTTTTATGCCAATCTATTGCAGCCCTTGGATGGTTTCCAATCTAGCTTGCTTGGATGCTTTGCTATTTAGAGAGCGTGGCTGGTTGCTTAAGTCATGTGGCATCGCTTCTTGCTTTCGAACAGATGGGTAAAATGTATAAACACACAACAGCACATGATGAAGGCAGAATATAGCCTGCTGTCCCCAAATAACACACCGGAGACAGAAAGATGAGGCATGGTAAGCTGGCCATGCTGACACCACCCAGGCAGGCTGAATGAACTCCAGGTCTTTGGCATTTCATGAGCACATTTGGCTATTAATCTGGTACTTAAGGGAATTAAATACGGGCAGGCTTGGGACCTTTTGGCACAGTTTCCACATTGCAACACTCCGCGAGCTCCCCTCCAGCTCCCCTTGCTGAAACAAACTGTTCTCCAGGTGCCTACAGCAGACACACTCCAAATCCACAGGTGCCTTCGGCTCCGAGGAGAAAGCAGGGACAAGCTCCTGGGCGTGCAGCACAAGCAGCCTCTTCTAGCTCCTTCCTCATCCTCTCCTGCCTGTGGCATCCAGGGTGCTTATGTCACAGGGGACAGGGAATTCACCTCCATGTGCTGCACTCCTGGCTGCGGCTGGTTCTGCTCAGGAGTGTGATGGAGACGGTGCCGGGCAAGGCATGAGCATTATTTTCTTGCCTCTCTCCAGCAGCGGGATTGGAAAGGCTGGCTCGGCTATTGTAAAGCCAGTGGCAAGGGTTGCTGCTTGCCTCGGAGGAAATCACCTGCCAAACTCTCCCCAGATTTACACCAGAAGAACGCCATTTTATTGTGGGGCAGCAGCAGAGAGAGCAGGACAAAGCGCTCCGTGGACTGGGCCACTGTAACATCCCTGCAGCGAGCACCCCTGCCCACTCTGGCTGCTGGCATTTCTCCACCGGGTTTATCACTGTATCAGCCATGTGAATACACCTTTTTTATGGCATGAGCCTTTCAGTGGGCTTCTGAAAGACAGTGATGTGCCTTTGAAGGTTTGGCTGATCCTGTTTCCTGTATGCTCCTGAGCCTTGTATACATTTAAATTTTACTTGTTAACTCTGTAAGGATACTTCAGACTTGTATTGTACTGAAATTGGCTGGGATCTCGGTATCTCACTTATTCCCACGTACTTTTTTCTTAGAAATGCTTTGTAGTCACGTTATTGCTGTTGGGAGGTTTGGCTTTAACAGCCTCCAATAAAGATATGAGCCTGCGAAAGGGCACCCGTAGCCCAAGATTATTCAAGAGGAGCAACCAAAGTGCAGGTGCCTGCTGTTTGCAGGGCCTCTTATTCGGGGCAGTGGCAGCCGGCCCCCGGGCCCGCAGGCCGCGCGGCCGGGGGGCGGGCGGCG